ATAAACGACCTTTCACAATTAGCCCCAAGAAACTGTAGGCTTTTTGTGGAGGAGTACAACTGTGATGGAAAAAGTGACAATGAGAAAACACTGGGTAAATCAAGCCTATCTAGAAAAAACAAAGTTTTATGACCACTGGAAAGACCTGAATATATTCATCACTTAGACAAATCATTACATGAAAGGTGGCTTTCAACTGTTATTTTGGCTAAAGTTGTTACTGCATAGCATTTGAATATGAAAATATAACTCATGACGCTAGCCTTATTAAATGAAATTGGTCGAATCAAACGATATTCTCACAGACTAGTCATCGGTCAAGCACGGCAGTCAGCACGAGGATCACTTGGTCAAAAAATGTGACTTCTGACGATGGGGGTGCTGAACCGTTCAAACATCGGTTAGCCTGAAGCAGGGAACAAATCCTGGACTCCCTAAATCCGTATTTCCCGGAACCAGAGATAAGAGAGAGAAAATCTTGCAACATGCTTCAAGGAGGCTCTGACGTAGGCGCTCTCTGACAGAAGTTCCTCAGCAACTGATGTGAACCGATTAGTCAATCAGCATCCTTCCTCAAATTAGTACGGAGCGAGACTGTAACTGTTCAGAGAGGTTGAAGTAAAAGGAATCTAGGGAATTTCTAACCGTTTGCATTCATTTCAATAAACGTTCACAATTGAGCACCATTTCGGCAGTCATCTTATCATTATCCAGTTGGCGCAGAGCGAATCTCCGTTTCTGCATCAACTAGGAACGCCATATTGTCCTTCATTTTCTAAGGCTATTTTCCCAGCCAGGTTGCTCCATAGCAGGTAGTGTCTTATTTTTTCTCCCATAGTTGTTTTCACTTATCAACCTCGAAAGGAGGAAAATCGAGTAACCGGATCAGGGTTCGAAATCAGGACTTTCGGTTCCGAGTCCAAGGCTCTACTGATGAACAGTCCTGAGGAAAACAACAAGAAACAATCCTTAAGAAGATAAAAATACAACAAATTGTCCTACTTTCTCCTATTTGCTTACCGCTGAAGACAATCAAGCAGATTTCAGTTGAATTTGCACATTAAACATGAACAAAACCGCAGTGTCATAACGATAAAGCAGGGCGATACGTCGTTGCTTTCATCGGACATAAATATGGCGATGATGACGATTCTGTGGCAACTCACAGACTTAAAAAAGTGCTGCATAGCAGATCAGCTATGTTGAGTCAGTCGTCAATCTGCCACCTGGACAATCCGGCGGTGACGTCGATCCTGTCCCTGTTCTGTTATCCGCTGAGCACATCTGGTTTGTTGCTCATTTAATAGCTAATCCAACGATTAAGCCCTTGTTCACAAAATGTCTGCGTATGATTCATCGCTATCCCGGCAGTTGTGCCCCCATTTATTAAGATTTATCAACCGAATCCGTTTGCTTCCAGCAAATACTGCTTCATATAAAAGTCAAAAATATGAAACTTTGTAATCGCTGGGATATGGGTGCCCCTTACACTTTTATGATTTGGGGTCATTTGTCATTTTCCTTATTTTATGAACGTTGTCGTGTGGCACTGACCTGCATTTTTATGTTATCAGCCAGGAATGCTTTACTTTTTAAGGCAGAATCTATAGCTATGTGGAAAGAATAGCTTGAAGGTTCCTATTTAATTTCTACAGAATGTCACTGATTTATTTTCGTCGGGTGACCTCGCAGAACTCGAACCCGGGAACTCTCGGCTCTCACTCTGACTCTCTAAAGGCTGAACTACCCTTACACCCAGTGCTTCAGATAATCAATGCATAAGTATTATTTGCCTCAGTGCTTCACCACTCCTCCTCGGTACCTCTGACTTAGGCAAACAAACTTTTCAAGTCCATACCTTGAAATTTGCATTCATTTGCCCCAAGATTGATGAACTTCGCACCAGTACCTAGAATCGCAAAGAACGCGGAGTAAATTT